GTACAAGCAGCAAAAAATGAAGCAGCAGACGCGATTTTGCTGCTCCTGTTGCGTTCGGTGTGAACGCAGCTTAAGAAACCTGTCTGTTAGAGGACTTGAGGTCAGCACCATGAAAACCAACGATACACATCCATGGGCTACGTGATCCGATACCTGAAGCCTTGCTGGAAAACAAAAGATGTCCTGATCGGGGCAGACTATCCTTAATGAGCCAGACCCATGTGATACAAATACAGGTTAATTGTTTCTCTTCATTAAATGTTCTCAGCATGTCAGTTACTATCTGAGAGAAAAAAATAATCGCTACAAAGGAGAACAGTAATAATAAAATTTTATAGAGATGATTCTGGTGAATCTGCTTATATGTTTCTGAAGATGATCAGACTGAAGTTTACTGGGGTCTGAGTAGATGGAGCCTTTAGCACAAGGCTAACCATAATGCCTGTGGTTCAGATAAAGTGATAAATATGTAAATATACCGTTAGAGGCTCATCTGAAATCAAGTGCAACAAATTAATAAAGGCTATAAATGTTCCCTGCAAATAATCAAGAAAAAAATTAAAAATCACAAAGCTAAAAAAAAAAACTTTAAAATCTAAAAAAAAAAAGTTATTTTAGGTGTAAAATCAGAATGAATGCAAGACTGGTGCTAAAACTGCACGGCGACGGCAGACGGCAGAGTCGTGATTTTCACACATCATCGAGTCACTCCAGAGGACGAGGAATTACAATCTGCTGGGTGCAGGTATCCGGCTCACTAAGTTGTGTTTTAGACTGGCACGACCTCATCCTGCCAAAGCACAAGAATTTCAATTCCAGGAGGGAATAATCCCGCTTAGCTTCGACGGAGACATCCGGAAGCAGCCATATGTTACACCGCCTCCCCCTCCCCCCCTCCGCTCAACCAGCTGAGCAGCTGTCCAGATGTGAGCACCTTGTCACAGCTCACACTCCTCAACATGTGTTTTAGAGCTGAATAAGGACCTGTGAGTGATCCATGATCCCCCTCCCCCGCCGCCTTCCTCTTTTTTTAATTACAGGGACCAACAGGCCTAAAGCTGAATGTTTGAAGCAGATGAAGATCTGCATTAGGAAGAACTTTACAGTTCAAGATCATGTTCTCTGACCTTAACGCCACACATCCAAAGAGTTCAGTTGCCAAAATCTTAATCTTTTAATCTCCTCTTCCATCAGTCTGTTCTTATCTCTGTATCAACCTCTGTCTCCTTTTCTGTAATTACTGGATGTACTGATAGAGATTATGCTGACATCATCTGAAACTCAGCACTGTAATCTCTGAGTGCTACACTGGACTCATTTTGACTGAGACTCAGTCAAAATATAGTGGAGTTTAATACTTATAAAACATTTTCCTCATTTAAACCGTCTGGCAATATATTTTGAATAAACTTGAATTCAGAACAGAAGCAGTGAAGATGTTATAGCAAGTCTCAATTTCAGAGAGTGTATAATGTCTGCCCAAATATTCACACTTTTTTCTTTCTAGAGGTGAAAATCCTGAAAAA